ACTTGAAAATATCCTCTGGGAAAAGGCTTACTATCCATGAGGTTTTGGAACAGCTCTTTGCCAGTGAAAGTGAGATAGAGGGGAATGTGTGCTAACTCTGCCACTGCCAGTCCCAATACCCAGATAACTATTGAGGGAGGATGAGAGAGACTTGATGAGTGAGACGAATATGTGACAAAAAAAAGGAGATGAAAATAAGTAAATAAACATGTTTATGAGGGAAGAGGGCGGGGTGAGGAGGTGCCCAACATGAATCAATGTGGTTCATTCTGTGAGAGTCATGAATGCACACTCCGAATTAGAAAACATTTGGGTGAACGATTCTCAAGACCGTTGCTCTGAAACATAATTTTTGACCTGATGGTGACGCTACAGGAAAGGTCATTTTATCAGCAAATCCAATAGTTTTCATTGTCTTGTGGGTATTAATACTGTCACAAAATTTCTGAAGATTCGTATTAAAACCTTTAAGATAGATGAATTCTAATTTAAAAGTTTGACCTGATGGTGCCGCTGTAGGACAGGTCAACTCGCTGATAAGTTTTATTATCAAGGAGGTATTATGTATTGAACAAATGAACAACATAAACTGGGTCAACAAATTCATGTACAGTAAATATTCTCTAGTGCGGACTCGTGTTTGCGCTGTCCAATTTGTCCTGATAACAGAAATTCCTCATTTGGGAAATGAGCATGGTACATGTCCTTTATGAACCTGCAAGTATGTTGACAAAATGCGCGTGTAACAACACAATCAATAAAATACAAAAATATACTGTCCAAAAGCTGTTTATATAACAAAAACTGCAATACAGGTGAATCCAAAAAAAATCACAACAGTAAAATACTACAGTATTTGAATGTTTATTTTTTTTCTGTCTTGGGAAAAAAATGTGTCTATTTTGGATTGTTTTGTTGGATGCATTCTTTGGTTTATGACAATGTTTTCCTGCCTGTCATACAGTTTTCTTGCTAGTTGCAAGTAACTGTCGCGTTGATCACCGATGTCTGGTAATTCTTGTGCATACTGATGGATTTGTTGCCATTTGCATTGCTTCCTCGCTCGATGGTGGCTTGTCATCAGGAGTTGAATCGATGCCTTGTTTTTTAAAGTTTCGTACATTTGCGTCTTTCCGACTCCAAGTGTCTGCTGGATGCTTTTAACTTTGTGTCCAGCCTCGCTCAAACGGATACATTTCACTCGCTCCGCTCCAGTCATTACAGTTCTTCTACGTTTCGATGCCATGATCTACACGACATAAGTGAATAGGGTTAAAATCTTTCGCAATTGCAGTAAAACGCACGCCAATAAAAAGTCACTTACACGTCTTAGTTTCGAAACTGATGAATGTAAACGGCGAAGCGAACACGTCTGTTCGGTCGTGTCGAGTGGGGGCTGCTTTTAAGCTAGTGCCGCGTTCTATAGGACGTTAAGTGAATAAAGTTAAAATCATTCACAATTACAGTAAAACGCACGCCAATAAAAACTCACTTACACGTCGTCGTTTCGAATCTGATGATCAAAAAACGCGAAGTGAAAATGTGTCTCAGCGTCGTCGTTCCGTAGCATCGGGTGGGCCTTGCGTGTATTTAATCTCCCGCGGCATGACGTCTCAATCCGAGTTACGGGTAGTGGAATTTCCGCTTACGTAAGTTCCGGTAACATGTAATATCGTAGTCAAAATGTTAATGCACAGGTTTTTGTTCCGGGTGAAGGAAATTCCTTTTCATAGAATTCCGGGGATGGGAATATTTACTGTACCTCATTTTCTGGAGCCAAATTTCCCAGGGGTCAAATTGACCCCAAGGGTAAAATCTGTTAGTAATATTTGAGGGTAATAACAGGGTTAATTTAGATTTTTTTTTGTGTGTGTGTGTGTGTGTGTGTGTGTGTGTGTGTGTGTGTGTGTGTGTGTGTGTGTATACGTATATATTTTTGTGATATAATTGATATTTTATTTAAGTCAAACTGAATGTTTTTTCTATAGTGTGTCAAAGCCTGATATTACTTTTATGTTTCACCTCTAGGATCTTCCCACATTTTAACTCCCAGCAGTCTACTGGATGATATCAAGGCCCTAAGCAAACGTCCTATGGAGACTTTCACAATTGAAGAGAAGAGCAATGACTAACGTGTCATCCAACTAACAGACTCCCCACACACCCTTGTCCTTCCCGAAATATATCATGAGTGCACACAACAAAGCCCCTTCATTGGGGTAATGAAGGGAATGTTACTGTATTATTTTGAATGGCTTTTTGTGTATTCGCACATTAAAATAACCTTTTTGCAGATAGATTTACACCTTTCGAGACTCAGATGTATAGTTAATTGTGAGGATTAGGATGGTTGTTCGGTCACGTAAATTGGCCTCACCCGGTCCTGGAAAAATAATGGTAACTTTACCCTTTAAAAGACAGAGTGGTGGAGGACATTCACCCTTAATATACATGTAGTTTGTAAGCACTGAACTTTGGTCAGCCCTTGTAAACTGTTATCCCTGTGTATAAACATTTAACATTATTCTTTCTGTGTTTTTAAGTACAGTATTTTTTTTCTCAAATTGAACACTGACTAATAAATGGATGAAGTGGTTCAAATTATGTTTTTTGATTGCAGAATACATCAGGATAATAGTGCTCTCTTTGTGTCAATCACTTAGCGTTATTAACTTTGTAAAATTATTTTATACAGCCCTCATGTTGGATGTTAATGGATCGTGTCCCACATGACAAGTTTCTTGAAAGTAAAAACCAAGTACTCAGCAGGAGCAATTCATGAACACAAAAGCAAATGTCTTCACCACACCTCGACAATGACTATGCAAACTATAGCTGTTTTTTTTTTTACATAGAATAATGCATAATAATTAATTTTTCTGATAATTGTTACAAAGAGCTTTTAGCCCTGACTTTTCAAGACTGCTAAATATGTACAGTGTTGTAAACAGTGTTCAGTGTCTTCTAATAACAACATACAGTACTACAGAGTAGCGTGTTCCTATTGGCTGGCTGCAGCGTCATGAAATATAAATAAGAAAAGGATTACAGTGGTACCTCTACTTACGAACGTCTCTTCATACTAAATTTTCAAGTTATGAAACGTCTCAACAGGAAAATATTGCCTCTTGTTACGAAAGAAATTTCAAGATACTAAAGGTAAAAATACAGAATGGGCTCCTACCTGCAGCTGCGAGTTTCCTAAACGCAGCATACTTATAGCTGCTCTGCTATTGGCTATTACCAAGCGAGCATCATCCTGGCATCCCTTTGGCTAAGAAGGATTTCTACCTTATGTGTCTATTTGTGTAGATAGATAGATATTTGTCTATGCAGAGTCTTCGTCATTCGGTCCTCAACCCATAAGTTGTTCCGATAGTTTTACGTAAATGTGAATCATCCAGAAAAGTGTTCACCAGTCGGGCGACCGCTCACTAGGCTGATGTTTGCCTTGGACATTTTCGAAGGATTGTTAAAAGCCGACAAAAGCAAATGTCCTTGGATCAGTTCTTTATAAAACGGCAGGCGAAAACCACTTCTGAGAGAGAACATGGACTCAAGAGGGGAAAAAAAGCGATGAGGATGCAGTTAAAAGTTAAATGACCATAATTTTTATCCTTTATTCTTTGTTTTTTACAATATGCACAGCTCTCATATATTGTGCAATAATCTAATTGCAACATTTATTTTTAACATATTTTTATGCTTTAGGAAACATTTATGTCTATTTGGGGTGGGGATGGGGGGGCTTGTAACAAATTAGGGCATTTACATGGAAAACGCGTCTCTAACTTTTCTCATTCAGAAATTTCTTCCAAAACCAATTAATTTCGTAAGTAGAGGTACCAATGTATAAGTAATTGTCACACAAAACGCCTTTTTGTTTTGTTGGGGGAAGAGCGGCCTCCTCTTTCCCGCGTGTTCGTTGAATTTCGGACGAGGAGAATGTTGGTAATCCAAATAAAGGCTGGAGGCGATGAACAGTTCCTACGAAGGCTTTTAATT